ATGTATAGGGTATTTCTTCCAGTAGGAAATCAGGTAGATTAAGGAGGTTCAATGGTTACAAAAAAATGCAGCGATTGCAACAAAATTTAGAAGTGTGATTAATTAGGGATTTAGAAGTTTGCCTAAATTTTGTTCAATATTTGTTATCAAATATTTTCTTAAGAAATAAAGCTGTGAAGTTCAAGTTATTAACTAGAGCTTTTATGGGAAGCAGCATATGTGGACGTTATTTTAGTGAAAATAGTATAAGAAAAATGCAGAGATGCAAAAACAAAACGTACGTAGTAATTGTTAAATACTCGAAGAATAATTTCGTATTTGTTTTGAGGTACGTTACCGATCATTTAGTAAAGTAATTATCATTGAACTCTAAATTTGTACAGTATACTACACTCTTTCGAGCAGAAGACGTGGCAACAGCGCAATTTATATATATATTGGGTCGGTAAAAAAGTTCTGCTGATTTTTTAATAGATGACACTAGTGTCAGAAAATATAAAATAAATGTTGTTCAAATGTCAGTCTGCCGCACATATTTTGACAAGTCACACTATGCTTGACATTTGGCAGAAGTGTTTGTTTTGGTCGGACGTGTTTTGCATGTACGGCATACAACTAAAATGGAAGATCAAAAATTGCATTTTTGCCATATTTTGCTGGTTTTATTCCGTAAAAGATATAAAGCGGCGGAATAAGCGCGAAATATGCGCCATGTATGGTGCCTTGGCCTTAAGCGCAGAAACATGCGAAAGATGGTTTGCTCGCTTTCGTTCCGGAGAATTTAACCTCCAAGATGCACCACGCTCTGGACGGCCAAATTTTGTTGACGACGACCAACTCCTGGCTACAGTAAAGAGTGATCGACACTTAACGACTCGAGAGATTGCGAAGCGCTTCGGCATTCATCATACAACCGTTATGGATCGATTAAAAAAGCTTGGCATGGTGAAAAAGCTTGATGTATAAGTGCCGCACGAACTGAGCGAAAAGAACATCATAGATCGGATTTTAGTGTGTGAATCTCTCCTGAAACAAAACTCTCTAGACCCATTTCTGAAACGGATCATCACTGGAGACGAGAAATGGGTTGTCTACAACAACATTAAGCGGCGGAAGTCGTGGTGCGGTCCGGGCGAGTCTTCACAAACGGTGGCAAAAACTAATTTGCATCCACAGAAAGTACTGCTATGTATTTGATGCAGCACCCACCATATTCGCCGGACCTTGCACCGCCTGATCATCACTTGTTTTGCTCGCTGCAAAACAATGTTGGCGGTCATCAATTCGACTCAATGGAGGCCATCCGAAATCACCTCGTTGATTTTTTCGCCCACAAGTCTCAAGGGTTTTACGAGAGCGGCATCAAGGCCCTACCGAAACGTTGGCAACAAGTTGTAGATCAAGACGGTCAACACATTGTAGATTAAATTAATTTTTCTAAATGTCGATTTTGTGTTTAAATTTTATACTAAGAATCCGCAGAACTTTTCCACCAACCCAATATATACACACATGTTTGACGACTAACTTCATTGGGTGCGTTCAAACAACTCAATTGTTGAGTGATCATCGCTTGTGATTGGATCCTACTTTTAGAATCGTGATAGCTTTAGAGGAATAGTTATCTCACAAGTAATGATCACTCAACAGTTGAAGTGTCTGAACGCATCTATTAAATTCAAAATATATTTATTATGTTATATTAATATCTTTTTCAATATTTCGTAACAACAATGGTTGCTTATAAAATGAGCAATACATGTTATTTGCCATGTGCTGAATATCTACTATTCTATTGTCTTCAATGCTACAGACTGAGGCTATTGCATGTTCTGACTGTATCTCAAATTTCTTTCTTCTTTTTCCGTTTGCTATTCGGTGTATCATAGTATCTGCACTTTTTTTACAAATTTTTCTTTATATTTATACATTTCAAACGACATTGTCAACACTAATATTTAGATTAGCGATGCAAAATCATCGAGTCGAATACTGTGTTACAAAGCTGCCAACACAAATTATTCAACCAAAAAATTGCGTTATTGCCAAACTTCTTTCATTAATTTTTAGTTGAAAATAAAAATAAATAATTTATTAGAAGTTCTTTATTTTATAAAATATATGTTTAGAAATTATTTTTATTTTATTTTTGTTATTCTGTCGCAAAATATTTTTGCTAGCAATAATGTTAAAAACATTAAAAATAATTTATCTTAGGTTGGTACCTCATCATCTTTCAATGTTAAAAGATAGGATGCCTCCTTCGCGCTTCACCCCCCTGCAAGATACCACTGAATCTGCTTAAGATGTGTATCACAGTTCAGCATAACATAAACTGAACTTGGTGCACTAAAAGTGTAAGTACGCTTACCCAAGTAGCATAAAAACGTTCTCAGAATGTTCGGCGAATGTTAGAACAGTAACAGTGAAAAACGTTTTTGTTATGTTAGAAGTTCGCTCAGGACTAACATTCTCCTAACATTCAGCAAACGTTCTCAGAACGTTTTACTGAAACGTTTCCGTAACATTCGGCGAACGTTACACAGAGAGAATAAAAAAATTTTTCGCAGGTTGCCTTTTTACACAGCTTCGAGATTTTACTTGAATTAAGTTTTGGAGGCCCGATTCAGCTCGCCATTCATCCAATGAACTCTATTGAAAGAAACTGGGATCTGAAAAAATTTTAAAATGATGGCAGGATTTGAACTCAAGACCTCTGTATTCACAGCCCCTGCACTCAGTCCGCGAGACCACTTATTCTTTACTAGAATGTGATTATTTTTATCTANTTATTCTCAAGCTATCTTGTACACATTTTATTTATTATTATTTTTTTAAATTATTATTTTATTAAAAATATTGCAGTGTAATGTACCCTTGCAACAGTGGATAAAAATATTTCTCTTATTATTATTAATTATTTATTATTATTATAAATTAAAGTACAATTTTTTTACAGCACGACAGTTTTTGTTTCAAACAATGCTATATTTGAATCAAATATATTTTATGTTACATTTGTAAATATATTTTGTTACATTTAATTAATTAACGTTCGCCGAATGTTACGAGAACGTTTTTATGCTACTTGAGTAAATCTTAAATTTGTATACAGGTTTAAAATATTTCTAAACGTCCTCCGAATGTTCTCAGACTAACATGCAGGATCCAAGAAAACAGTCGCAAATCATGTTTTTTTCGTTTAGGTACGTTTAGGAACATTTCAATCTTATATTAGTTCAACATGTTAGATCAGTGTTCGGGGTCGAACTCAAAACATGTCTAACACAAAATTACCATTCGTTGAACGTTTTCATGCTACTTGGGTAGTAGTTCGACATGTTAGATCAGTTTTCGGAGTCTAACACAAGAGTAACATTCGCTGAACGTTTTTATGCTACTTGGGTACAAACATTTCAAACTTATATTAGTTCAACATGTTAGATCAGTGTTCGGGGTCTAACATAAAACATGTCAAACACAAAATTAACATTCGCTGAACGTTTTCATGTTACTTGGGTAGTACACCTCGGGGTACTGCATGTTGTACAGCTGCCCCCGCGCGTCTGCCGGCTGTGTGCCCATGGCATTCCGCGGAGCAGACGCCAAAGAAAAAAAATAAAAATAAGGAAAAACCTCGCTAAAATTAAACTTAAAATTAAAGTTAAAACTAAAACTTAATCGAATACCCTTCTTTCTGCAAAGTAAAATGAGAGTTAAGTGGCGCAAAATACATTAAAGGTCAGTCTGACAATTAGCTGTTTGATTGCCAGTTCTTACGTACTAAATAAAAGAAAAGGAAGTGTACGCTGACATAACAAAATTAAAATAAACTAAATTATTTAAGACAACAAGATTAGTTACCTTAAAAAGATGACACAGTAAAAGGTTAAAACTTAAATAAAAAGTGGTATGGAACAAATAAAACGACTTACAGCTATAGTTACATCCCTTTGAAGGCACATAATCAAGGAGTCGACAGGGTGAGGAAGCTGTCCAACCGCCCGAACCAAGGACTCCCGTAAGCATATTCGTCGTTCTGAGTATGCAGGGCAGACTTAGAAAACATGGTTTGGAGTTTCTTCCAGATCGCAATGGAGGCATAGAGGCGACTCTACTATGTTAAATCTGTAAAGACTTGCTTGGAGCGAGGTGTGTCCGTTACAGAGGCAGCTCAGAAAAGCCACCGCCCTGCGGGGCACTTCCCAGGGCTCAAACCACGGATAACGAGAATCAGACAAAACACGTGTACAGTAAAAGCTGCCCCTAGACCACGCCTCTTTGCGACACCACAAAAACGACTCGGACTAAAAAGGACTAAAGGTTCGCCTTCCAGAAGTTCTTCAGCTCACCTAGAAGGATTCCAATACTAGAGTTTCTCCCGCACCGGACAGCGTCCCTCGCGAGAGCGTCAGCCCGTTCATTTCCAATCACTCCCCGGTGACCGGAGATCCACACCAGTTTAACTTCCACCCCGCGCCCGGTTAGGTTAGGTTAGGTTAGGCTTGGTTAGGTTCCTGGGCGAGGTTCCCCCACCTTGACGTGGTGCCCAGGCTTAGGGGAGCGTTGATCCGATGGGCTATGCTGGCAGGGGCTCTTTTGAGTCCCTGGCAGGGTCACCCATGCCAGACAGGCCATCGGGGAGCTCCTGAACTAAGAGGGGAAATAGAGGAATGGAAAACCTCGATAAAAAACCCGGAGTTCTCAGCTCCGTTAGTCCCCACAGACGGGGACAACTGGGATAGGGGAGTAAACCCTGACTTCAAATCCGGGGACGTCCGACCCCGTTAGCCACGGTGCAGTCGGACTAGGGGAGTAAACCCTGAGTACAAATCCGGGGTGTCCAGCTCCGATAGGCGCTTTCGGGTCGGCCACTGGACTAGGGGAAGGAAAACCCTGACTTCAAAACCCGGGTAGGACGGGCTCGTTACTCTTGGCTGGGAACCGTCCTAGGTGAAGGACACACCGAAATAAAACCAACTTTAATGATTTTTATGGGTATGTCGAACATTAAAGAGATATCCTTACCGCAGCAGGGGCTTCGGACCCCCAGCTGCCGGCGCGAGGGAGTTACCGTCCCGGGCTCCCTCCCGTCGTCATCAAACGACGGGCTTTGTGGTGCTTGCCCCGCAGNGGCACCACATGAACCTGCGTCTGCGAAGACCGGCGGTTTGCCGGTTCGCGAGGTGAGTGAGTCCCCCATTCTCCGCCCCCGGAAGAACCGAAGAGTTATCCGTGGAGACGGGGAAACCGAGACCCACGTGAGCCGTCCCTGTGGCGGCACGTGGATCTCGGACGACTCGGACGGGGAGGTGAAGATGGCCNCCGAACAGCTGGCCTCATCCTGCAAGGTAACGGGGCCGGGCCCCTTGACATCAAGCGTCAGGGTCTCCGTGCGCAAACTTTCCATCGCAGGAGCCACACCCCTGCCGCGGGGCGACTCCGGCTCTGAGGTCGAAGTTGCCGCCGTGAGCCAGAAGAGGGCTCAGTCAGAGCATCGAGTCCCAACTCCCCCCCCTCNGCCTGCCAAGAGGGATGCATCGGTTGGGGAGAAAAGAAAGAGAGGCAGGGCCCTCCAGGGCAGACGCCCTCCAACGTCTGGAGAGTACCGTGNGCTGGCTGCAGCCAAACAAAAGCTGCTCGACCTGCAACAGAGGGAGGATGAAATGCAGGCGGAGCGGGAACTGGCCCAAGAACTACAGGCCAATCGCGTGGCGACTCGAACGTCGGCCACGGCATCTCCTCCACCTTCACAACAGGGCGGGGCAGCACGGGGGAGCACGGATCCCCCGGAGGTCGCGTTGAAAGACCTACCCACCTCGCAGGTGGTCAAACACTCTGCGAGATGGGCGGCCTCAGTGGTGCGTATGGCCGTAACCTCAAAGCGGTTAAAGGGGACATATGTGAAGGGCCTAAAGGAGGCAGCGACACAACTGGAGGAGGCCGTCAGAGTGCTCGCCAGCCGCATGGACACCAGTGGTGAAATCCAGCGGCTGGACGCACAGAACAAATGCTTGCTCGGCGATGTAACCGAGCTACGGGAGACGGTCTCCTTCATACGAGCGGAGCGGGACTCTGTCCAGACAAAGCTGGACAGGGTCACAAGAGAAAGCTCCTCGCAGAAGGCTGAGCTCACAGCCCTTCANGAGGAAATGGTGGATATGCGGCGGAAGATTGTGGCCCTGCAAATGGCCCCACTCAAGGCTTCCGCCGCAGCAACTGCGGACCCGCCGCCGGCACTTAAGCCGGCGGTGGAGGAACCCTTGCCTCTCCCTCAAAGAGAGGCAAGACGNCGACGCCAACGAGCCCCCCCTGTGCCCCCACGAGACCCCAGTTTAGAGTCNGACCGGGGCATGGACATATCACCGTCCAGGGCGGGGGCAAACGACACTGGCTGGGAGTCACCGGCCCCATCACGGGGCCTGGAAACCCAGCCACCAGTAGAGGTCCACCCTGATGGGCGTCCCGCAGAATTCAAGGACACTAAGTCCCTTCTGCGGGAGCACACCAGAAGGATGGACCAAATGATCACGGAACGCCTGGACAAATTCTTCCAGGCGTTCACGGATCAACAGACCCGCCCCCCCCTGGGGGGTAGTGCCCAGAAACGGGCAGGGACACGAGGCCCGGTGGAAACGGGGGGCGATGGCCAGACCGCACCTGGTGCGGCGACCACGCCAGCCCCCACGCCCACCGCAGGGACAACAGGAGAGTCCACAAAGGCCAAAGGCAAAAAGGCCAAAACGAAGAAGAAGGGTGCCAAGAAGGGGAGGGGCGCCGAACAGCAACCGGGGACTGGTACGGTGGCTAAGGCCACCCCCCAGCCGCCCACGCAAAAGTCCGGTAAACCCGCACCCCCCTCGCAACCCTCAGACCCCACCACCTCTAAGGACACTTGGTCCCAGGTGGTGGGAAGAAAGAAAAAGCGGCCCTCGCCCGAAGATGTCCCCTTAACACCGCCTAGCGGCAAAGGGGGCAGCAAAGGGCCAGCCAGGGCAAAGGCGGGAGCGGTCAAACCGGTCACCCCGCCCAAGCCCAAGCTGGGGCGACCACCCCGATCGGCGGCGGTGGTCCTGACCGCCCCGGAAGGAGCCCAGAGCGGCCTACTGGGGGAGGTACTGGC